ATGCGCCACAGCTCCCCCGCCGGGCGGGCCCAGCCGCTCGGCGCCACCGCTGCCACAGGCGCCGGTGTTGAGAACAGCTCCCTCCGCGCCTCCGTGATGGCAAAACGCAAGCCCGCCCGTCAAACACAGCTGCACGAGCACACCGGGCACCACCTCTTCGAGGCGAGTCCGCCTCGGTGAGCACGCAGCTAGGCCGGGCGCGCTGCCTTCGCTTTACAGTGGCCATAGGCAGGTCACTCGAAAAGGGTCATGCACCAACAGCGTAGTAAGCACCAAAGGACAACGTATTTGTAAAACCGTTTTCTCTCATTTCATTCATAAATACTGCATATTTAACTGCTGCCTTTAGCACGCCAGACTTCTGAAGCCTACCTCCCCAGACAGCACCTCTAAACTTTTTCTGCTGTGTGACAGTTTGTTTTTACACCTGCCATGCATTTCAGTCAGTCCATCTTCTCTGCTCTCTCCTCCCAGGCCAAGAGACCAGAGGGCAGCGAGGCAGCACCCTTCCTTTGCTTCCACCACACCAGGAGAGCGGGCCTGCTCCTCACAGCCTCCAGCAGCACTTCTCTGGAAGGGGGGGAACAACCCCCTTTTGCTACAGACAGGCAAAACCCCCTACACTCGTTACAAAAAGCCAAATTTTACCTCCCTTTATTACCCATCCATCTGCCAGAACAGGAAGGCAGTACCACAGGTGGTTCCTGTGTAGGTTCTTTGGCAATCTCCTGTCCTTCACGATAGCCAGTGCTTAGGCTTTCCCTTCTCAGCTCAGCAGGGGTGAAGGAGCTGCTACCTCTGAACCTAGCCCTTCTACTTTGAAAACCAGCATCATGAAAAGCAGCAGGATGTGGCACAAGAGCCCTAGATACAGAAGTACTGCAAGGCTTTACTCCTCCATGTTGTACACAGAGTCTGTTAGCTTCACAAGTCCCGATCTGGCTGATGCATTTCAAAAAATTCACTTTCCTATGTGAGTTCATATAAGTATTGCAAGTGATGTTTAACACATTCACTTTGGCAAAAAGGCAGAGGCTGCTGAAGGAAAAAAAATCAGCAATTAAGCTGCTCTCCCAGAAATACCTTCAACTACCATTGCCATATTTTCTTTTTAAATAAAATTATAAAAACTCTCAACCAACCAATCCCAAATTCATGAAAAAAAAACCCAAACCCAACCACAATACAAACCCCCTCACCCAGTCAGGGAGCTAGGTACAGACATATTGGAAATACAAGACAAACTAAAAAGGGTGCTAGCTCCAACAGCAACAACTTCTGAAGTATCCCTTCTCCTCCCCACCTCTCTGCAGTACTGTACTTCCCTGCTGGGAAAAGCAGAAAGTGGCTACAGTATGGGCATCCTTGCCACAAAGAGAAGGTAGGTACAGTAGCCCACATTCATTTCAGGAGTATACAGAGAAAAAATTCAGTGTAAGAATGGGTACTTCCTTTCTTACAATCAATTTCTGCTTTCCAGTCTATCAGAAAGACAATATATTTAAAAAAAAAAAAAAAAGAAGAGATAAAGCTGTTGCTTCCAGATATTGTAACTGCAGGAACAGGACTCATGTAGTTGTTGGTTGTCCTAAGGGCTGCATGGCTATCTCCTGAGAGCAGCACTATGGAAAATGAGTGCCCAGCCACCAGTCCACTCCCACAAACGACAGGATTCATTCCCCGCTTCCATGCCAAATCTTACTTCTTTTACCTGGGCACTCCTTCTGACACCTCATGTAGCAACTGCTCAGCATCACTTAGGTGCTATGCAGGAGATACTCCTTGAGGTAAGCAAGGAACCCTGTTTTAGTCTCCACTAGTCTAATGTTTCACTGTTGACACAACATTAATTTCAAAAGAATTACGATTTGATACACTCATTTCCCCAATATTCTCAATTTTTAACGGATCTTGATGCAATATAGATAGCAGTCCTCTTAGCTACTTCTTATTTTGTCAAAAATGAGATGATTTAGAGCCCATTTAACGCTGGCTATTCATCAGTGTCTTATCAGATTTCTCTAAAAAGAAGGCATTTAACTGAATGTTTATGACAAAAAACACAGAACATTTTTGAAGTAACAGACAAAAATAAGTTGTTATTTACAAGTAACATACATAATAAAACTACTACTGTGACAGGCCTTTACACATAACTGCAGTCAATTTTTGCATTGTTTAAAAAAATTTCCTTAAACAGAAATTGTTCAGAATTATCAGTTTGTCCATACATGTGTATGTTATGAGAAATACAATAGCTTTTTACATTTTTAAAGTTATCAATGTAATTTACATTTTCTTCCCCATAATATCAAGTGAAGATTTAAAAATGGTGCAAACTGGAACACAAAGACAAGTAGGTATGAACACTGAAACACAATCAATTTGGAACATATTAGTGTTTCAAACTATAAATCCATGAGAAAAATCCCTAATATTTGGCTTGATCCCCTCACCACCCACCCCCAAAAGGTCAAAGCAAGACAGCCTTTCAAAGTAACAGTGATTATTGCATATTTTATCTTTGGAAAAGCAGAGTTTTAACCAAAAATATTTTAAATTTAGTTGAAACATATGTATTTATCTCAAGGAGAAAAGAAAAGTAGAACACGTGATCAGTAATGTTACCAAATCAAGCCAGTTACTTCATTCCATCCTTGCTTTGAGTAATCCCCCATACCTCAGATAATCCAGTTGAGCGAATGGGTACTTCAGAGAGCACAAAAGCAACTTTTCATTCTGTAGAAGTCCTTTAAGAATCCTGGACTTATATTAACCTCTCATTTAAGTGCTGACAGGTAAGTTAACATATATTTCAAACTTGTACAACAGGGAAAACATTTACCTTTTTTAAACCAGGATATACAAAAGATGATTTGCATAGTTACAATTCAAGCACAAAGTCACTGTAAATAGGTACAAAAGCATTTATAAATTTACTAAATTTGCTGCTGTTTGTGCCAGCCAAATCTTAGATAGGTATGAATGTAAACTTGAAGGGATTGAGAACAGTCAGTGTTTTTGCTTAAAAAATATGTAGAGAACGCTTTTTAAAGGTTTTAAAAAATATTTTATGCAGCAGGAACAAACAGTTCAAACCCCAAAGCAAGCCATTCAAAATGCCCAAATTCCTCCTATACAGCAGAGAAAGTTTGTTCATAGGTTTCAAACCTACATACAAGACGAGGCACTAGTTACACTATTTTGGAATGTGTCCATAACCCTACCATTTCAGTTCACCCTAAGACTTACAAAACACTGTTGGCTTCTAACTTCCTAGGAAAACATATCTTCAGAAGGTGGTGCATAAGAAAATCCAACAAATGCATCATCTGCCTCTAGGACACTGGCATTAACGATGTTGTAATCGGAAGAAACGCAAACTGAGTATGGGACCATTTCTTCTGTAAACACTGCATCGAAATTCCCAATATCATCCGGTCCAACCTAGAAAACAGAAAGTCTATCAGTTGTCATATTAACACTGTGTTTTAAACTTGTGCTTGTCTTTTAGATTTCAAATGTAACTCTTGAGGCTATCTGCTCTATGTCATTGCTTCCTACTTAAGTACGGGAAATTAAAGGAAGCACACCACAGCATCCCTGAAAACAGTTATTAAAAGTCCACTTGTTTCCTTTAAGCTGGAGTTCAGACCAAAGCCTACAGACCTTTATAATCTGAAAAACCTAAGAAATAGGAAGAAATGTCTGTTTCTTAAATGACTGTTAGGGACATGCAAAAACTGCACACCCCCACCCCCAAAAACCCCAACCAAACCAACCAACCAACAACCCCAAAACCCACCAAAAAAAAATCCAAACCACACCAAATTCTCTTTCTCCCTTTTCAATCAATAACACTTTAAGTGGTAAATTCTAGCAACGGTGCTGCTGTTATGATAGATCAGCTTCCCACTAACACACCGAAGAACTAAAGCATAGTAATATTTAGTCGCAGAGAGAAGAGACAAGACAGCTAAAGCTTCTTCACCGAACAGACACAGACTCAACAAAAGGTGATGCTCTGATGTGACTTTAGGAAGGGCTTCCTCCTCCCCTACCCCTGAGTTTTTGGGCAAGCAGTCACAGGTTGACACAGTTTAAACTGATGGGAGGATAAAGAAAAGCTGCAACTTTTCTTGTGTGTTGGCTTAATAACTACAAAAATGCAGGAAATCAGTCTTTTGGAAAGTCTTCAAAAGGAGAGGCTGGCTGTATTTTCTTCTTTGGTCTTTAGACCCCACAAAAATTGACAGGAATGAGCAGAAGAAACACTGTTATGTCAAAGTGAGTTTTAAGTGAAAAAAAGATGGTATCACTGCTCAAAAGTGTGACTGCTTCAAAGGCCAGTCAGCACTGCGGGGATCCCATTCTTCACTGTTCTGAAACAAACATTCTTTGCCAATAGATGAGCCCTTAAAGGGAGAAGTTTGGCAGGTATGAACTAAAACTGCACCAGGCACCTACCACATTAGGATTAAATGGTGGCGGAATCTTCTTCTGGAGAAGATCAGTCCAGCTGAGAGACTCAAAGAATGGGTGCTTCTGAATTTCAAGCTGCAGTAAGGAATAAAAATTTTAGATATTTCAGAAATCCATCCTGTGTAGTAAACACTACTTCAGACTGCATGCACATAAGGAAGTCCTTCATCAGCTTATTTATTCAGATTACTTTGCAATAAAAGCTGCAGTTGGTTAAAAACAGCAATTAAAATTTGTTAGCCTGCCTCTACAAACTGGTTTCATTTTAAGATCGTATTTTCTGCTTTTAAGCCTTAAAATCAACCACCCTGAAGTCTACCACAGAGCAAGAATGTTTTTTGCTAATATCTGTGCTCCTGCCTTAAATTTTTGTTCCTTTTTGTAAAGCAGATCATTATCTGAGAAGTGGCTGCTTTGACTACTCTGCAATACACTTACTAGCTATGAAGCAAACAGTGACCCTAGTGACTGCTACACCAGAAACTGTTTCCTTTGCTGGCAGGTAAAGCAGCAACCAAGCTCAAAAAATTTATATTCCAGGACAATCACCTCTCTCCTATCCCCAACAACTTTCAGCAATTGACCACGCTGTCTTTAACAAAGAAACAAAAAAGAGTAAAACAGAGACAGACATAACAAAGCAACCTCTATTTCCAACTATTAAACCTGTGCTGTGCACATAAATTTGGTGCTGTCCCCTTAAATGAAGTAGGGCTTGATAAATTAAGGCATTACATACAAAATCTTCCCTTGCTCCAAGTCTGCTTTGCCGATCTTTCTCCAAAAGTTCTTCCAGAATAGACCAGGCTGTAAGACTGATTCCTGGGCGCAAAACTAAGGGTTTATGAAGAATATTCTCATACATCTCAGCAACATCACGGCAGTAAAAAGGAGGCTAAAAAAAGAAAAGTTATACATGAATTCGAAGCTTCATAGATTCACAGAATGGTCTGGGTTGAAAGGGACCTTAAAGATCGTCTAGTTCCAACCCCCCTGCCATGGGTGGGGACATCTTCCACTAGACCAGGTTGCTCAAAGCCCCATCCAACCTGGCCTTGAACAATTCCATGGATTGAGGCATCCACAACTTCTCTGGACAACCTGTTCCAGTGTTTCACCACCCTCATAGTGAAAAATTTCTTCCTTACATCTAATCTAAATCTACCCTCCTTCGGTTTAAACCCACTACCCCTTGTCCTATCACTACATGCCCTTGTAAAGTCCCTATCCAGCTTTCTTATAAGCCCCCTTTAAGTATTGAAAGGCTGCTATAAGGTCTTCCTGGAGCCTTCTCTTCTCCAGGCTGAACAACCCCAACTGTCTCAGCCTGTCTTCAGAGGAGAGGCGTTCTAGCTCTCTGATCATTTTTGCGGCCCTCCTCTGG